TCATTCTTAGATGCTTCTTTTATTTTCATTTGTGTCCCGTCTCTATTTGTTTTTTGTATCTTCCTCGCGAACTCGTATTTTTTGCCCAAATTGATAAAAGGGCCCCGCGCGTAACAAGCACGTGCTTGGTGTCGTTGGGCCACTTGTTAGTACTGCTCGTAGTGCATCAACGTCCATCAAATATGACACTATAAAAAACTCAATGAGTACTCTTAAAAACCTCGATATCAGCACAAAATCCTGGGATCCAATCCTGTGTTTTCTTATCAGAAGAAAACTATACCAGCAGTCTCTAGCTGCTCAAGAAAGTTCAGCGGATGCACCAACGGAAATTCCAACGTTATGGAGTGTACTGACGTTTATTGAGCGGCGCGCTTGCAAGCTGGAGACTATAAGCGCTCAACCTACAGCAACACTCCGCCATCAGTCAGTTCACAACGAAGAGAGCTGTAAGATTTGTCACCTAGGACAACATAATCTTAGAGCATGTAGCCGTATCCAGCAAATGGACCCCAAAGCACGGCGTCAAGCCATTATTCAAGTAGGAGCATGCACAAATTGTTTGTCTACAGCTCATAAGGTTGAAAACTGTGGATCACCGACCACTTGTCGAGTCTGCCAGCACCGGCATCATTCACTGTTACACCAAGGACCGACTAGCAATCCAGTGGCCGGCGCAGTAACCATTGCAGGCTACGACCACGTAGGAGGATATGCTATGCTCGCGACCGCCAAGGTCTCATTACAAGGGCCAAACGGTCAATTACAAACATGTCGCGCTGTAATAGATGGTGGATCACAGGTGAATCTTATCTCAAGGAGAATGGCAGATCTGCTATCTCTTAAAGAAAGGTCACCGATTGAAATATCTGGAATCGGAGGAAAGATATCAACAGCAATTAGATCAACACTAAAGCTCTCATCATGTACATCAGGGTTTGAAAAACTATTAGAGGTATTTATTATGCCCACTGTCATTACAGACCAACAGGGACTGCCGTTAGCAGATCCTGACTTTCGGCAATCAGGACCCATTGACCTAACGTTAGGGGTTGAAGTATCTTCTCGTGTAATTATAGGTGAACGTCTTGAACTAGGACCTAATAAACCTTTAGCACAAGGCACAAGGCTTGGTTATGTAATCACAGGTTATATCAATAAAGAAACCTTATCTGATACGGAAATCAACCCCAACCTAATAGTTAACAGAGATGATTTTGCAGGACCGAACGCTGCTTATAAGCCAACGAAAGATAAAAATTCGATGAATATAGAACCGACTTCTCATCAATTCAAAACCTACAAGAAGGCTGACTTTGGTTCAACATTTCTAAGCTTAACCAAGAAAGATCTTAGTTTTGTTGCAGAGCGTCCACATACCATAGACGTGCCAAATGATCAAGTTCTACGAGGGCACAATTTCAGTCCCCACGGTAATGTCAATTTTATCGCAAAGGGGAGTGTTAAGCAGCATCAAGAAGACGTGAAGGACCTGAATCACAAACATGAACCGCAGTTGAAGGAAAGATCCACCTTGGTCAATGATTTGTTAGGTGCTTCCTATAAAATTCGGTCAAGGGCTGACCGACATCACGACTTAATTGAGGGTACCCCTCAATGGGGGTGAGAATGTTCGTACCCAAAGGTACTCAACATGACCACACCCAACAAATCAAGCAGTAGCCAAGTTGGGAACAGTACCAGGCGCTCAGTAGCACCCACTGCATATGAGAATGGCTGATCAGCATATTATGTCTCACTAATTCACCGTCTCACCGACTCAACGGTACACTGACGCGCCAATGCAGTCTGCACATGTTGCAGTTGTTAGCCGAGCCAACTGCACCATAATCATAATTCACTGACCTACTTTAGATTATAGCTTATTTCACTAATCATTACACTAAGCTTCCGTGTTCCAAATAGTATATAAGCAGGTATCAAATGAAGAATAAATCAGTTATCAACACACCTCTTAACTCCGAGGTTCTACTTCCTACATCTGGGAATAGGGCTCGTAAAACTATCTATCTTAACTAGCAGCTAACCACGTTAGCTCACCCTTAGCGCAGCTCCAGCATCGCCTGTGGTCCGGCATCGCAGTAACCATCGTTACCATTGCCGCGACGCGATCGTCCCGCCATGAAAGCGTCCCCGTGCCAGCGACAAGTGCTCATTACCCCCTTGTCCCGCGGTGTGACCCGGAAGTGTCTACTTCGGTTAGGCACAAACACCGGCGATTGATGAGCTTATAATCACGCTACTGGCCTCCATATAAAAGGATTGTGCTGCCAAGACAATAATTCAATAATTTAAGTTCGAGTGCAATCACGATGGAGCTGCAAAGAATCATTCCGGCCCTGTTTACGCAATCGGAGGACTCCCCAGTTCGCTCGCGGGACGCGACCCTGTACCTGTTGCGCTGCTTATGGGCGTACGCAAACCCCCTTGCAAAATTCTTCGTGGCCTACGTCCTTTGGTCCATTGCCCTGAATTTCTGTTCAACATTTTACCAACCCATAGGATTTCTCACGGGCTACATCAGCCATTTGTCGGAGTTCTCGCCGGGAGAGTTTCTTACTTCGCTCCAGGTGGCGTTTAACGCGTGGTCCTGCTCCACCAAGGTGTTGATTGTGTGGGCACTGGTCAAACGCCTTGACGAGGCTAATGCCATCTTCGACGAGATGGATAAACGTCTCACAGAACCCGGCGAGCGACTACAGGTTCACCGCGCTGTCTCCCTTAGCAACCTGATCTTTTTTTTCATGGCAGTCTACATGGTTTACGCCACGAATACGTTCCTTTCAGCTATCTTTATTGGAAGGCCTCCTTACCAAAATTACTATCCGTTCCTGGACTGGCGATCCAGCAGGTTGTACCTCGCCAGGCAGGCCGGCCTGGAGTACTTCGCCATGGCTGGTGCCTGTTTTCAGGATGTCTGTGTGGGTTGCTACCCCGTTAACTTCGTCCTTGTGCGGAGCGTCTCCGGCGTCTTGGCACAGATCCTTCGGAGAGCACGGAGCAGCGATTCGAGCGACTAGTGGAATGCATACATGACCACAAGGTCATACTGCGGTAAGTGACCTCGAACTTTTTATAATACTAGTTTACAACATAAGAATCATAAAATGCTCCCAAGCTGTTGATAGCAAATTCTCTAAATGTTAAACTTCAACTTTAAATTTAAACTTTTTCCCTGGAAGCGTTTCCGACCCCATAAAGCATTTATATTTTTGATCACGACCACTAGCCTACTACTAGTTGATCTAGCCATGTCAAGCTGTCTGTCTTACCGTTTCTTACTATTTCTGCGTTTATGCTATATCATTCCATGAAATGAACAGGAATGTACATAAACACTGTTTCATGATTTCGATAACACACGGATGTTGACTATGAATTCAGCCTCAATGCATGAATTACTGAAGCACAGCAAAGTTGCAGAAAAATGTTTAGTTTACAGTTCTATAAAAATATAAAAAAATTTGAAATATGCATAACATAAACCAGGCACCGCAGTAATTATAAGTTGTACCAAAAAATCGTTTTCCTATGATCATTTTGTGTAATATTTACTAATCCAAAAATAATCACAGTTTTTATACCCGTTACTCGTAGAGTAAAAGGGTAAATGTACTAGATTCGTCGGAAAGTATGTAACAGGCAAAAGGAAGCGTTTCCGACTCCATAAGGTATATATATTTTTGATCAGGATCACTAGCCGAGTCAATCTAGCTATGTCCGTCTGTCCCCCTGTCCGTCTGTCTGTCCGTCCGGATGAAAGCTCAGATCTCGGAAACTATAAGAGCTAGGCTATTGAGAGTTGGCGTGCAGATTCCTGAGCTTCTTACGCAGCCCAAGTTTGTTTCAGTAGCGTGCCACGCCCACTCTAACGCCCAAAAACCGCCCAAAGCTGTGACTCCTACAGTTTTCATGCTAAAATAAAAAATTTTTGTTGTTCTCATCAATACCTATCGATTGACCCAAAAAAAGTTTGCCACGCTCACTTTAACGCCAACAAACCGCCCAAACCTGTGACGCCCACAATTTTCATGCTAGATCAAAAATTTTAACTACAATGTGTTGGTCTCGTCAATACCTATCGATTGAGCAAAAAATCGATTTGCAACGCCCACTCTTACGCCCATAACGATTAAATCTGTCTACCGCCGGTAGGTGGCGCATTTCAATCTCGCTTTGCTGCTTGAATAACTCCATTTCCCTTTGGTTCCTTTAGATGAGCAACGGGTATCTGATAGTCGAGGTACCGACTATAGCGTTCTTCCTTGTTTTTATATAAAGTTTTTGCTTTTGAACGACTTTTTGTTTGGTTGAGTACTAGGCTAAGATGTTTTTAACTCAGTTGTTTAAGTATACTTAAATATGGGTTATAATACTGAAATGCATTTGTAAAGTGAAAAAAGACAATGAATTCTATTAAATTTTAAGGTCTGCTTTCTAGTCGTCAATTCAACTAAAAAAATGTTTTAAGCCTAGAAATCCTATGTGAGAAGAGAAACTTATATTTCTGATTATTAGAATTTTCCCTGTATATATATTAAGTCGAATGTATTGTCAACGTAATGAAAGCGATACCTGTCTGGAATATATTGCCACCCAAACTTAAATCCCTTTGCTTGTGAACGGAAGCAGCATGCTCGGCTCTTCTGTGTCGAATCATCATTTATTTATGTACAAGTGTATACTTTTACACTTCTGCGAAGCATTGGGTGTCTAATGCAATTTGATTTTTGGTAGGTCATTTGGATTGTATAAACACTCTTCATTGCTTCAGCATAAAGGAGAGAAGGGTATAGGAATCTATGCGCGGTAGAGTCTTGAGTACTTTGTTACCCTCACGCTAATTCATTTTTCAAGTGTCATTCATAAATTACCTAAGCCGGCGATTGATGAGCTTATAATCACGCTACTGGCCTCCATATAAAAGGATTTTGCTGCCAAGACAATAATTCAATAATTTAAGTTCGAGTGCAATCACGATGGAGCTGGAAAGAATCTTTCCGGCCCTGTTTACGCAATCGGAGGACTCCCCAGTTCGCCCGCGGGACGCGACCCTGTACCTGCTGCGCTGCATCTTCCTGATGGGCGTACGTAAGCCCCCTGCAAAGTTCTTCATGGCCAACGTCCTTTGGTCCATTGCCCTGAATTTCTGTTCCATATTTTACCAACCCATCGGATTTCTCACGGGCTACATCAGCCATTTGTCGGAGTTCTCGCCGGGAGAGTTTCTTACTTCGCTCCAGGTGGCGTTTAACGCGTGGTCCTGCTCCACCAAGGTGTTGATTGTGTGGGCACTGGTCAAACGCTTTGACGAGGCTAATGCCATCCTCGACGAGATGGATAAACGTCTCACAGAGCCCGGGAGCCCGGGAGCCCCAGAGCCCCAGAGCCCCAGAGCGACTACAGGTTCACTGCGCTGTCTCCCGTAGCAACCGGACTATTTTTTTTTACATGGTTTACGCCACGAATACGTTCCTTTCAGCTATCTTTATTGGAAGGCCCCTATACCAAAATTACTATCCGTTCCTGGACTGGCGATCCAGCAGGTTGCACCTCGCCCTGCAGGCCGGCCTGGAGTACTTCGCCATGGCCCAATGCTGTGGCTCCTACAGTTTCGGTGCTAGAATACAAATTTTAACTGCAATGTATTGTTCTCATCAATACCTATCGATTGACCCAAAAAAAGTTTGCCACGCTCACTTTAACGCCCACAAACCGCCCACAAACTTAAAAAAATCGTAAATATGAACGTGGATATCTCGGAAACTATCAAAGATAGAGAATTGAAATCTCAGATTTAGATTTCGTAGCCTTGTACGCAGCGCACGTTTGTTACGCGAATATGCCACACATAACGCCCACAAACCGCCCAAACCTGTGACGCCCACAGTTTTCATGCTAGATAAAAAATTTTAACTAAAATGTATTGGTCTCGTCAATACCTATCGATTGATCAAAAAAAAATTGCAACGCCCACTCTAACGCCCATAACGATTAAATCTGTCTACCGCCGGTAGGTGGCGCATTTCAATCTCGCTTTGCTGCTTGAATAACTCCATTTCCCTTTGGTTCCTTTAGCTGAGCAACGGGTATCTGATAGTCGACTATATCGTTCTCCCTTGCTTTTATTTTAATAAATCTAAAAAAGTTATGATTAGTTGGTATGTTTAATTTCCATGAGAAAATGGTGAGAAAATATACTAAGTCGACCATGAGCAACACTTTAAGACTTATTTTAAGCTTAAGGGCGAGATTTTTGCGGTTTCCGGTAATTGTAAAAACTTAAAATTAGTCTTAGCCGTGTTCAACTTAGAAATTTTTCTGACCATTTTCACAGCCATTTATATACAACTCTAACAACAAAGAACGCTATAGTCGTTATAGAACGCTATAGAACGTAAGCCGTTAGTCGGCTAAAGGGACCAACGGGAAATGGAATAATGCAAGCAATAAAGCGAGATTGAAATGCGCCACCTTCGCGCGAACTCAAGTCGCTCAAGTGGGCGTGGCAAACTTTTTTTTTGGTCAATAGATAGGTATTGACGAGACTAATACATATCAGTTAAAATTTTGTATCTAGGATTAAAATTGTGGGCGTTAGAGTGGGCCTAGAATTTTTTTTTGGTCAATCGACAGGTATTGATAAGAACAATAGACATCAGTTAAAATTTTTATTCTAGCATCAAAACCGTAGGAGCCACAGTTTTGGGCGGCTTATGGGCGTTAGAGTAGGCGTGGCACCCTGGTGAAACCTGCGCAAGAATCTCAGGAATCTGCATGCCAAATCCAAACTGTCTAGTTCTGTCCGTATGAACGCTGAGATCTTGGAAACTATAAGAACTAGGCAGATCGACTCGGCTAGTGATCCCGATCAAGAATATATATACTTTATGGGGTCGGAAACGCTTCCTTCTGACAGTTACAAAGCTAAAAGCGACTGGAATCAGGCATGCAGATTCCAGAGATCCCGGCGAAGCGCACGTTTATTTCGTCAGAGTGCCAAAACTGTGGCTCCCAAATGTTGTATGCTAGAATTAAAATATTAACTTAAATTTATTATTCTCATCAACACTTATCGATTGACCAAAAAAAAAGATTTTCACACCTACAAGATGCCCACCGACTTCAAAAAATCGTAAATATGAACGCTCATTACAGATATAGATTCCCTATCCTTGTTTGCAGCGCAAGTTTGTCACGTGAATATGCCGCGCCTTATCTAACGCCCACAATCCGCCCAAGCCAGTGGGGCCCAAAATTTTCATGCTAGAAAAATTATTTTAGCTAAAATGTAATAGTCTCGTCAATATCTATCGATTGACCTAAAAATGTTTGCCAGGCCCACTCTAACGCCCACAATTTTCTTGCTAGATACAAAAGTTACCTATCGATTGACCAAAGAAAAAAGTTTGCCACGCCCACTCTAACGCCCATAACGCTGAAATCGGTCTACCGCCCACAAAACCATATATTTAGATCCCGGGTAGGTGGCGCATTACAATCTCACTTTGCTGCATGCATATCTCCATCTCCCTTTGCTCTCTATAGCTGAGTAACGGGTATCTGATAGTCCAGGAACTCGTTCTTCCTTGTTTTTATCTTGCAGAGGGTATTTTGATTTCAGTCAGAAGTTTGCAACGCAGTGAAGGAGACTTTTCCGACCCCATAAAGTATATATATTCTTGATCAGCATGACTAGACGAGTCTATCTAACCATGTCCGTCCGTCCGTCTACGCAAGCTAGTCTCTCAGTTTTAAAGCTATTGGGCTGAAACTTTCTTAAAAGTCTTGTTTCTTTTGCAGGTAGTATATAAGTCGGAACCACCCGGATCAAACCACTATATCTTATAGCTCCCATAGGAATAATCGGAAAAAAAAAAATTTTTTAAATTATATCTTTGGTGATTTTTAACACATATCATCTTTGGCTTGGAAATAACATTTTTTAGTTTGTTTTGAATTTCAAATTAAATTTTATCAAAATCGGACGACTATATGACATAGCTGCCATAGGAACGATCGGAAAATTGGTGGGAAAATAATATGAAACAAGTTATAGCTTCGATGTTTTTGAACATAAAACCTCCTACGCGTGGAAATAACATTTTTTAATTTGTTCTGAATTAAGAATTTAATTTGATCAAAATCGGACGACTATATCATTTAGCTGCCATAGGAGCGATCGGAAAATTGGTGGGAAAATTATATAAAACAAATTTTAGCTTCGGTGTTTTTTAACATAAAACCTCCTACGCGTGTAAATAACATTTTTTAATTTGTTCTGAATTAAGAATTTAATTTGATCACAATCGGACGATTATACGATATAGCTGCCATAGGAACGATCGGAATATTGGTGGGAAAATTATATGAAACAAATTAAAGCTTTTGTGTGGTGGGAATATCATTTTTTGTCTTTTTAAATTTAATAATTATAACTGCAAGGGTATACAAACTTCGGCTTGCCGAACTTAACTTCCTTTCTGGTTTCTTACTTTTTATGGCTTACTTTATATGGCTTAAAAGGAATTTAAAAAAATAAATTAATTAAAAAAAAAACAAGGAAGAACGCTATAGTCGAGTACCTCGACTATCAGGTACCCGTTACTCAGCTAAAGACACCATAGGGAAAAGGAGACATGCAAGCAGCAAAGCGAGATTAAAATACGCCACCTACCGGCGGTAGACAGATTTAAGCGTTATGGGCGTTAGAGTGGACGTGGCAAATTTTTTTTGGATCAATCCATAGGTATTGACGAGACCAATACATTTCCGTTAAAATTTTTTATCTAGCATGATAACTGTGGGCGTCACAGGTTTGGGCGGTTTGTGGGCGTTAGAGTGGGCGTGGCAAATTTTTTTTTAATCAGTCGATAGGTATTGACGAGACCAATACATTTCAGTTAAAATTTTGTATCTAGCATGAAAACTGTGGGCGTCACAGGTGCGGGCGGTTTGTTGGCGTTAGAGTGGGCGTGGCAAACTTTTTTTTTGGTCAATCGATAGGTATTGATGAGAACAATACAATTCAGATAAAATTTTTGTTGTAGAATCAAAACTGTAGAAGCCATCGTTTTGGGCGGCTTGTGGGCGTAAGAGTGGGCGTGGCACATTGCTGAAAGAACCTCAGGAATCTGCACGCCAAATCTCAATAGCCTAGCTCTTATAGTTACCGTGATCTCAGCGTTCATCCGGACAGACGGACAGACGGACATGGCTAGTGATCCTGATCAAGAATATATATACTTTATGGGGTCGGAAACGCTTCCTTCTGCCTGTTACATACTTTCCGACGAATCTAGTATACCCTTTTACTCTACGAGTAACGGGTATAAAAAACGATACAGTCGATGGCCTAGATTATTAGATACTCGTTACTCAGTTACAGAGGCACCTAGCGTTAATTAGCACCACCAAGCCTCTAACTCCAACTGGACCATAGCGCCCCTAGCGGCTTCGTGGCGTGTTTGTAAAAACAACTGATTTGCTGCATGTGGTGTGCCATATCGATTGAATTTGCAAATTATTGATTTTTATTTCGTTATAACTATATAATTGATTGTCTTTATAATTAATTGTTTGTTTCAGCAGGGTGCCACGCCCTCTCTAACTCCGAAAGTCGACCATTACACTAAAACGCATCTACCAAACAAATTTTTAAATAATAGTTTATTCTTAGTATCAAAACCTATCTACATGCCAAAAAATATTGATATCAGACAAGTCATTAACAAGTTATAACTAAATACGACTCAGTGTTTTGCAGTTCAATCGAGATTGCACACCACATGCAGCAAATACACTGGTCGGCATAAGTATTTTGTCGAAACGAAAGTTAAATATACTTATAATTTGAACTTACTTCTTGTTACGTATGCCCTCCACATAGGAAGATTCACATAGAGAAACAACGACAAATCTTTAGCCAGGGGGAGGGGTGCATGTGACTAACCAGACTATTACTGGTAAAGGCAGAAGAAAAAGCAATTCGGCAATTCTCGGGTGTCGCGTGGCCAGAACAACGGCCACTATCGACCTATTGGTAACTATACTCCGGTAGCTGGCAAAGGGCAGCCGGCCGTTGACTCCCAAGATAGCAGATATCAAGAAACAGTAATTCTAGGTGGGAACACCTAGTTTATCCGATCCATACCAGCAGCCAAGTAAAAGCTCTAGGGTGGTATAAAAGACCTTAGACAAATAGAGAAAAGGAGAGAATCCATTTGGGTGTCTTGCTGACGGAAGCCGGCAGCTTCGAGGGAAGGCGACTTTCCCTGGGGCAGTCGTCCATGGAGTCTTCTGCCACCAGGACCAGCCACCATATCCAACAGTCCTTGAGGAGAACACAATTGCAGCTCGAAATAATCTTGTGTCGAACCAGCGCCGCTATTGTCATCAAAGAACGTGGAGAAGATCAACAATAGGGACGACATCCGACATACTACGATGTTTGTGGACGCAGTATCCGTGATCTCCATGCTCCTGAAATTTGTTCAGCTGTAGGAACCATCCGTTCAGAGCGTAGCGACCAATAGCATACGTCGGAGAAAGTAGTGATGCAATATAAATGTGTTAATCGAGCCAACCAAAGCTAAAGTGAACTCATGCATAACCAAGGACCAATATCCTCAAATAATACAATTGGATAACAAGTGAAAATCAAGCATTCAAACATGCATTGAAATATATTTAAACCAACCGAATCAATAGACAAAGTGCGAATCATGATAAACAATTAGAGAGGACGAATCTCTCCACCGTTGAAGAAATCGCATATATATTTTGTGTTTAAGTGAATTGGTATACTTAAGAACAGCCGTGTTTTGGTGCACGTATATCTATATATATATATCCAATATAATATTTTCCCAAAGCCCAGGATCGGGGCGTCGAGATCTCATCGCCCAGGATTTAAAGAGGGGGTAAGTTTGTTTCTTATAAACTTACATATATAAATATTCGTGCAGTATCCTACAGTTTTATAGACTACTATAAACTTTTTCAGCGTCGAGTATCAGCCTTGTAGTTATATGATAATTGCAAGAGCCCTCTGAGCAACGTTTGTAGTCGTGAATACTCAGTATTATGCTGATGTGTGCACCTTCATAGGTGATAAATTCGATACTCTCCGCTAATACAATAATTGTCAATTAATTTAAACCCTATATGAATTAGTCAATATTATATTACTCAATCCCTGCACACGTCGACATAAATATTATTTAATAAATTTATAATGTGAAAAAGAATTCGAAACCATGATGTACTAGGGCTTCATTAAGGTCAAGAACAATGACATAACTTTCGACGGAAACCTTGACAATAGGGGATCGTATTGCGCGGCCCGCGACGATCCATTGGCACACGAATTTGTGAAGGGGAGGGAATATGGCCAACACACAGCCCGGTCGTATTGCGATCAAGCGACAGCTAAGCTTGTTGGGCAGTGTGGACTGATGACTGACGAACTTGATGACTAATATTATTTTCCAGGCACTTTCAATATTTATTCTCGTTATGTTGGAGAGGAGAGAGGCTTACCAAGATCCCACGACCCGAATACGACGTAGCTTATGCCGGCAAATGGTGCCAGAATATCGGACGCCTCTCTTTCGGCCCAAGTCCCTGTCAGGACTCGGGCACTAATATGCCCACGTAACAAAACTTTGGCATCAATGGAAAGGTAATTTAAATGTGGTTTGAATGCGGCAATACATTTCTTAAGGGGGTATTATAGTCTAGAAATTTGAAAAAATCGAAAATTTGTTTTTTCATAATTCGATAGTTTAGATATTTAAAAATATCTCCCTAAACGGATTATTCAAAATTCAAATTATTTTTAAAATTATGGTTGATTAAGAGAATGTAAGTTATACGTGCTATTCTATCAGTTACACTGCCTGAAATTTAACGTAAAACTTTAAACGCGTTTTTCTCCAAACTACTTTTTCTGATACGGTAGCCATAATATTTCAAGTTCTAATCAGCCGATTTACTTAAAATTTGGCATGAATATTCTTTCAATATCTCTCTATCGCATGAACCAACAAAAAATTGGAATTTAAAATTTGGAATATTTTTAAAAAATTCGATAAAATTACAAAATTAGTAAAAAAAATCGACTTTTTTTTGAGTGGCCGCCATTTTATGAAAACAATTTTTTTTTAGTTTGGCTGGTTCATGACATAGCGACATTCGTACTGACTAAAAATCTTTTTTTTTTTTTTTTTCAAATGACCACAAGGGTAGAAATCATGGCGACGAGGACACGGCCTTTTTTTTCCCCCTCTACTTCAAGGACGCATAACTCGATGAAAAAAAAAATATTTTTTTTTTAAATTTTATTTTATGTACTCTTCTAAGTTAAATAAACAAATGATAAAAAACCCGACAGTAAAAATATCAATTGTTTAGTTTTAATTAATTGTTAAAAAAGGCTCGAAACTAGAGCCTCTAGACTAGAATACCCCCTTAACCCATTCAGTACTTATTGAAAATTAGGAATTTGTGTAAAAATATATTTATACCCGTTACTCGTAGAGTAAAAGGGTATACTAGTTTCGTCGGAAAGTATGTAACAGGCAGAAGAAAGCGTTTCCGACCCCATAAAGTATATATCACTGTGGACGGCAGTACATTGAATTGAAAATCTGCCATTATGGTCCGATCGTTACGAGAGATACACCAAATCGAAAGGTATCGCAAAAACTAAGAAGATTGCATACCCAGACATTCGAAATATATATTAGTTTGGAGAAAAAGCGGTGAAACTGTAAAAGTAAAAATTTCGAAAATTGGAGCTGCTGGATACGGTGGGGATAAAAGCCCCCGGCTGTTTAGCTAGTTTTATTCTTACTGAGAATACGCGTCGAATGACACTTCATTTCTTGAAGACCGATGTCCCGTTTAAAGAAATTCAAACAAGATTTTCTTCTTTCCAAAATGAATATGTTTGTATGCATCCCATCTTAATTTTAGGGTTTTGGAAACGCTATGGGTGTATAAAGTAGCTTGAAATAGAAAACGTTTGTTCTACGACTTTTGGAAAAACCCGCTAGTTTAGCGGAAAAAAAGACAGATTTAAAATGCTTATAGTATCTAAACAACTAATGACGACCAACTAAGTACAGAAACGTGCTATATATCTCTGAAAAGATATTTTAATTTGCTAAATACTCTTTATGTAGTAAATTTGTCAGAATATATATGGATTTAGAGTTATGACAAAAAGTTATTTTTTTAATCCCACTTTTTGACTATTTTCTCAAAATTGAGTAAAACGATTTCTTTTTAAATTTCAAATCATATAGCCCTTGAAATTTCTCAGTAGTAGGGAAACGCGGATTCTGGGACAATTGGCATATTAATGGCCCCCGCCCCCTTACTAATTAGCATATTAATGACCCCCGCCTCTCACTAATTAACATATTAATGGCCCCCGCCTCTTCATTAATGTATGCGGGTTCTGGGACAATTAGCATAATCCATAAATTATCTGATTTTAAGGGGTTTAGATGTCATAAAAATGTCACGATCATATCCATAAAGAGTACACTAAAGAGCCCCCCAACCCCACACCACCATGTAACAATACTGATCACGTGACCTTTTTGCCTCATTATCAGCAATTAATATTCAGCAGGTGTTGCTGTACACGGGAGAAAGGTCGCACACTTCCCCACATCCCCATGTGACAATATTGATCATGTATCCTTTTCCTTGTTATCAGCAATTAATATTCAGCAGGTGTTGCTGTGCACGTGAGAAAGGTCGCAAACCCAAAACATCTAAAGCTGGTTGCCTTAGAGGGACATGTCCGATCAAAAGAACCCCAATAAAAAAAATCCCACAAATTAATGGTTCTCAGATGTCAAATATTTTCAAACAGACATTTTTTTTTTCGCCCCAGAATGTTTAATTGGCAAATTTTTTCAAGATCTCTCCTTTCTACAAACGGGTCATAAACATATCATAAATGGGATACAAGCAAGAGCTACCCGAACATGCGTACCTGTCTATTACCTGACCGGAATAAAAGGGACACATGCACAAGTCTGAAGGCGCACGCCCATTGACAAAATCATGAGCATCACGCCAACGACCTCACGGCTGAGTGCTAGCTCTAATACGTTCCCATAATAGGGGTTGAAATCACGACCGCGCAACAACTCGCAAGTAGCCGACATATCTCAGTCAGGGAAATATTTTTTATTACTTGTAATTTTAACTCGAAATAAAATGTTAGAAGTTTATTTTGTACCATAATAATACATTTATTTATTTATTTTGGTATTGCGAACATTTTTGTTATATATAGAAATAAATTTTCTGCTTTGATTCCGGCGATTTGCATAGAAGAAGCAGGCGCACGTTTCCGACGTCATTTCTGGATTACAAAATGTAAATTGTTCACCATAATTCGTATTTTTTAGGTCATGTCCACCTCGATTCATGAACATAGTTTTTGTATTTAGAAGGTATTAAAAATGCTGACCAATTATCTCTCCTTTAAATTGTTCAATAAATTGGTCAATTTCCTCATGAAACTTAATTTGGTTAATTTTGTTATCTTGCACATCTTTACACATCTAGTCTCAACTTAAAAATAATGTATAAAAATTATTTTATTGTTTTGAAGCTACTTTTAAAAAATGTCAAAATAATGTATGCATTGTTAAGAGCACAAACCCCAGCCAGAGTATCAGCCTTGTAGTTATATGATAATTGCAAGAGCCCTCTGAGCGACGTTTGTAGTCGTTGTTGGGGCGGTGCGGCTTGATCGTTGAAATAATTGAAGCCCCAAGATCGAGTGGTACGCATAAAAATACGCGGGTACTTTTGGGTTTTTACGCGACGTGCGTAGGTGTTTATTAGTACACTTTGAAACATGAACTGCTTAAGCC